GCGTACATGGCGCCCCCCGCTAAGCGCCCATTTTGATCGGACCGACACCCTGACGTATTATGACAGTGCTTTTCTTACTGTTCGGATGTGCTTCCCCTCATGTTCCAGAGGTGATGAGATAGAGATTCTGTTAGCTGTATCTGACTCTCCCTATCAGTCACTAACATATTCCGCTCTATCAGATAAGCCAATCCGCCAATGAAGCTTGTAGACCCCTGCTCAGTGTCCACCGTATCAGTTGCGAGTTCCGCCTCACAGTCAAAGAATTCTTCTAACAATGCCCTATCGCTTTGTGCCACGCCCGTTTCATCCAACTCATCGGAGAGCCCGCCACTTACAGCCATTTTGACTATCATGTTATGTAATATAACACAAGCATGACTAATAAGAATGAGATGGCTGTCACTCCACTCATGCCTTTCCTGTCGCAATATCTTAAACCTTCCTTGCAGGCATGCGAGAAACCTCTCTATGTCTTTGCGTATAGCTTCTTGCCTCCCTGTCATATGACTCTCACGGTCATTGAGGGGCGCATGGTTTGGCAAAACAAAAATTGGCCAGGGGGGGTAAATGCCGTCGGCCAACATGCACAGCAGACCATGCTGACGCGTGCCGTTAATAACATAACCTTCTGGCAAGTACATTCGCCGACGGCCAGATAAAATGTCGTTAACAAACGGACTGTTGTCCAAAACTGTAATATCATTGTTTGTCCCACAGCGTCCTGGAAACCAATGCCAGCAATACAGCGGCCTGTCTACCAACGCCTCACAGCTTATAGTCGCAAGTTTACAGTCTTTTGGATTATGGTATTGCCCTTTCAACGCCTTGGGACAATTTTTCCAATGAATGTGCATGCAATCTATAGCCCCCATACAACCAGGAAACCCCGCCTCCTCGTATGTCGTCACAATTGATCTCAACTCTCCTAATGTAGGCTCCCGATTGAGAAATACGGGTCCGAAACAGTTGACGACTGCGCGCAAGGTCTTCTGAAAGTAGTACCGCTGACTCTCGGAACTCATTCGAGACATGTCGTCTACCTGTGAAAACGATAGCCCGTTCCCCAAGCGACGCAAACTGGACAATATTTTCTGATGGCTGGTGTGCCCCATGGCACCACGCGCATCGCTCCTCTGGCCCAACTCTGGATCTTCGGCAATTAAAGCATCATGTAGGCGCCAGTACAGCTTAAGCGGTATGCGGAATACCTGACGAAACCTCGCGGGAGAGTGTAGCATAAACCCCCGGTCGCGGTGGGGGTTTAGCTAGGTTCGCGTAAGGCCTGTGTTAACGCGAGAAAGAGAAAAACACACAAACAACAGAACGAACGCGGGCGGTGGTAGCGTGGTAGAGCAGTGGGGAGCGGACGCGGACGCGTTAGAGCGGATCGACGCGCTCGACGCCTCGGGGCGGCGCTAGTTCGCGTGCTAGCGCCGACGGGCGGAGGCGGATCCAGCTCGCGCGCGTACGTTCGCGACCGCTACCAGCGTTAGTTTCTGGTTAACGCGCTCGCGTTAAGAGAACGCGTTTAGAATAAGGGACGGGGTTAGAACTTCGGCAGAGGATCTGGTATCAAGCCCGTGCTTGTCCTTGTCCTCCCTCCGCCGCCGGTCGCCCTGTCATTTAATATACAAGTAAATAATCTATCATAACATACTACAGTATCTAGGTAGCGCCTTACACGATAAGCTCGCGCGCCTTACTCCGGATCGTCACGCTGTACACGTGCACAGCGAGCAGCAAGCGCGTACTTACAGGCGCCGGTGTGCGCGCTGTAATGCATTTTGCGGGAGTACAGTAGTCACCCCGCCCGTTCAAATAACGTTCTCGCGATTATGCTACAGCAGAGTAAGTGGGGTTCACACACAAGTAATCTGCGAACCATGAGCAAGGAACGCGATGGATCTTTTGTGATCCGACGGCTCTTCCCCGCGACGATTTGCGTTTATTCTTGATCGCTTGAACAGCTGCAAGAGATAGTTGCGCGAGTGTGTCGATGTCATCCTCAAACAGGCCCTCAATGGAACAGATGAAATCTGAAGAGGATGATGATGAACTCTCGCTTAGATCTATGCTGTAGAACCGGTACGGCACAAGGCGCTTCCTTCCGAGGGGTTGCGAGTAAAAGTATGTAGGGGTACTGTTGCATTGTTGGATGAGCGAGGCACAGCATCTCACCGCCGGTGTTTCAGGATCAGGATCTGCCTAGATAAATGATCCCGATTGGTATACACTGTACGGTGGTGTCAGCTCCATGCAAGGGAGTATCGTTGAACAGAGGCTCAATGTTGTCCGCAGGGAGACCGTTGGGATGCGGACTGGGCGATGGAAGGGCTCACAATGTAGTCTGATACAATTCCCAGCCGCTCGAGCAGGGCGAGTCTAGGGACGCTGCGTGGGGGCGAGGACGCGAAAGGGTATCGAGACGTCCCCGTCCGTTGGAGGGGAGGAAGACAGGGGCTGTGAGGACCGTTGTCGGGAATACAAACTGTAGGGGAAAAGTGTAGAGCTTCTGAAGTCTATATGAGCGTAGGCAGGAACGCGAAAGGGAATGGCGGCATTGATCGAGGGAGAAGGACCGAGTTGGCGGCAGCTTCCGTCGCTGTTGTAGCTGTTTGCTACTGAATTGTTATTTAATCGGATCTTTGTTAGCGGCTGAGGTCCGTTGTACGGCTGTTTGTCGTTGTTGTCGCTTTTCTGGTGACTGATCGCGCGCAGGACCACTAGGAATTTATTGCGGTCCGATGGTCCCGTTATGCAGAATGGAACGTTAAATACGAAGGGTGGGGCACTGCTGACTAGCGACGATGTATTGAAGGAGTTATCGGAGAGGGAAGCGGCGCGTGCTGCCGCCGGCCGAGCTCGTGTGGAGAGAGATGCAGCGGCAGAGAAACGTCGTGTTCAGCGGGAGCGGGAGGCCGAGGAGCGCATTTCGGCGAGGGACGCGGCGGAAGGAGCACGAATCGCCCATGTATTGTGTCAACGGCAGATATCCCGAGGGGGAAGGATGTCTGTTGCGCGACAGCGTGCACTCCGGTTACCTGGGTAACCACGAAAAAACTAAAAGCAAGTACAATTTTTTGATGCGCAGTGGTTCGAAATTCGGTGTAGGATAGCTCCTTGAGGTGGCTTAAGCCAATGAGGCCGTTCACCACAGTTGTGGTGCCGTTTCGGTACAGCATCAGAATCTTAGGCATGTGTCTCCTTCGGCAGGTTCCAACCCTCTGTCCAAGTTTGAGCTCATTTGGAGCACTGGAAGTGCTTCTTTAATTTAAATGTTGATTTTGGTTAGGAATAGAGGGGGAGCTGATAGGGGTGCTCTTAGCGATACCTGTAGTCTCGCCTTTCAGGCGGGACTACAGGTATCGGACACAGACTTTTTGTACTGTACCCTTGGTACTGTACTACTTTATCAAAAGGGTCCTCCTCCGTGCTTGAAGAGAAGGGTACCAATACGCAAAAGGCTTGCTGTACAGTGCTGCATGAAATACAGTGCTTCAGCCTTATAAGAATAGCCCGTTAAAGAATATCCTCGGTAATAGAATATGATGGCTGACACCCGTGTTGGGCGTGCCCAAAAAAGGCACATGGAGCAGCATTTTATTCTTATTCGACAAAAGAATAAAATTTTCTGGATGAGCTCAATTTTGGGGTACAGCAAGGCGTGTACGTACTACGTACATACGTATTTCATTAAATCATGTTTTTGCGCGCAATTGCGCGCAAAAACTGCCAGATAATGCTGCAAAATGAAAAAATCACCACTTCGGCCTTCTTCAGGCGACCCACCGATAATCGCGATCAACCATCGAAATCGAGATCCCCCATGCCTTCCTAGGGTCCCTGTAGCCCATCTCCATGCAGTGTCTCCCATTGTCTAAAGTCATTTCTTCATGAAGAATCATGAAGTTTCTCAGTTTCTGCATGAATAAACAAGCAAAAAGCAAAAGTGAAAAAACAACCCGAAATCGCGTACTCCCTTTTTGAGGTACGTAGTACGTAACGTACTACGTACCTCAAAAAGGGGGCCAAGAAGCAATATCAATCAGCTGTGTCGGCATATGAACGTTTTCTCAACCTCAATCCCAGACTGTAGACCTGTTCAACAATGCAATTCTGTACAGTATCTTTGATCCGTTCAAACTACGTTGCGCTCCGATAAGATACCATGAGAGACTTCATACAAGTGTACAGTATGCACTTTCACCTGTACAGCACCAACTAGACTTTTTTAGAAGGCGCTGACGAGCTTGCTGGACCTTATCATAAACACACCGATCACCGCTTTATAAGAATACGGAGCCTGTCTCCCGTCCTTATTCTTAGAGCACCCCTATCGGTTTGGCTAAATTTGGTGGCTAAATGTGTAAAATTTTGCGTTTGCATATAGCATTTCTGTGCGCAACACTATCGGTTTAGGAGTAAATTTGAAATTGAAGTGCCCTGATAGGGCATAGTGTACGAGGGGTGCGGGGCATCGAGTACGAGAGGTACTGTATTGACACTGTTCCATGGTCTTTTGGCCAAGTGGCGCCATGTAATTCGCGTCTCTATATGGTCAAATGAGTAAACTGGTCGCCATCCGGCTTCCAATATAGAGATAGATATAGCCAAAAAGGCCAAATTTTTGGAGATAACCAGTCCGATAGGGATGAAAGAGGCTATATGTATCTCTATATGCCAAATATTTACATATACACAGCACCGATAGGGGTGCTCTTATTGTCACTTCAGAGGGTATAGTGACATTCTACCGTCGGGTAGAAAGGGTAGAATGGCTTTCATAAATAAATTGTTGTGGGGGGGGTGCCCCGGTTGATAGCATATACCATTCAGAGTACAAGAGTACCCTTGGGTACTGTATACTGTACATGCAGTATGCATACAGTCATCCCTTCCCATCACACTACGGTACAGTACCCAAGGGTACTGCAGTATCGTGGGCGTCAACATCTGCCGGACACAACCTCAGCTGCTATCGAAAGCTTTTGCCCTCCATGCATTATACGCCGTTTAAGAATGTTGTCACTAATAATATATGTAATGTAATACGAAACTGTTCGCACTATACCATCTGCCTGAAGTGACTTATATAGCCTAAACTCAGACTCAGAGGACCTCCGACTAGAATTGTATACGCAGCGAGAAGTACAACAGAAGACGCATGCACCTACGTGCCTTCACGTTCGAAACTCTGACCCTGAACTTCCTTCAGAAAACAACACTACAGCTTGCCTACACTCTCGACTGACACCTGCAGTTGTTGAACCGAGCGCTCCAAGCTGTTAAAACCTTCCTCAGGTCTCTGCCGCAAGTCAAGATGTATCACCTACCACTCGTTTCGCTTCTCTGTACCTTCTTTGCTGTCGCGATTGCTTCTCCGGTCCAAGTGTCACCATCCTTTAAATTAACAGCTCAATCCTGGAGGTTACGTTTTACAACAAGAAATCATCTTCCGCACTACCAAAACAGATTCCGAGGCCATGCGGTGATGCACAGAATTTCATCTCGCAGAACTGCACCTCTCCGGAAACAGGGTGTATCGACTGAATCTCTTGAAGTCGTTCCAAATCATAACTCACTGCAGGCGTTCCGTCGCCGACGTACAGTTTCAAGAAACACGGCTCCGTTCAGTCGAAGAGTAGACATGATGAAACGGCACCTCGTTACCGCACTTGTTGAGTGGCCTACAGATAAAGATTACATCCACTCCAAGGCCTCTCAAGCAAATTTGCGTTATCTCAACGAGGAATCTACCCCTCGATTGCAGCGTGCCGACATGCAGAGGAGCGAGATCCGAAAATATGCGCAGGATCATCCAGTTCTAGTAAAAAATACGAAGAATTCGGAAGGAACACTCGTCAGGCCCTTGCCCGTGGTGCCCCGTGACGGGACTACCACGGAACAGTGCAAGAGCTCTGAAGAATGCTTGGGGGACATGTTCTGTGCAGATAGAGATGGACAAGAGTGCACGGGTGGCGACTTGTGCAGATGTTTTCCACCGCGTGGCCTTGTCCGATGTTCATCTAGTAGCGATTGTTTGAGAAATGGGGAGGTGTGTGTGCAGTTACGCGAGTCGACGGCGTGTATATCCCAGGAAGTTGCTAATGATTCAGGTTTTGAAGTGGTGGACGATAGGCCTTCAGAAGATGAGGAGACAGTATCCGGTAGTGATGATGTTGCAAGCACAAACCCAGGGGTTAATAACGAGACAGGGGAGGCTTGCATAGACGCACGAGCCTTGGGCCATTTTCCATTGAATCGCCTTGTATTCAAGACGCATGCGTTTTCTCATGTTCTGTGTGACACGAACGACAGTTGTGCCACACGAAGTCATGTTGTCATGTTCCGCGGGCGCGCAATGAGAATGAGGATATACTGCGAATTGGTGGGTTGCAGACAAGCGACGATGGGGGTGAACAGTCCTCATTTCAGCCGCGGAATGCGCATTGAGTCCAAGACGAAAGGGTTAGAGTACACAGGCTTTGCTGCACGCTACGACACGCAGGTTGAAGAGAGTGTGATTAGAATGGCTATTCGACTGGGGTTGTGACGGCATACCTTTCTCCTTTGTACATGAAGAAGTGTTGTTCGTGTGAAGCTAAGCTGGGCTCGGATTTCTTCAGGAATTGCGTTTCTAATTTGACATGGGTACCAAAGATAACTTGACGATGATGCCATCATAGATAACTTCAAGAACATGAGATAATTCACATTTTAGCGCATCACTCACATAGATTGAGGTATTATTCCCTTACAAATCAACTGAAACAAGGCAGCACTTCGAGATTCAGATTCAACCCGTAAAACAGCGACCAGCTCATCAATAGCATCGCTCACACTTTTCAAGCACAGGCTGTATAACAACTATCCACAAGTTTCCTTTGTACCCTACGCCATACACAGGCGATACCCGAAGCAACATGTGCTAAATCCCCGACCCAACTTGCACCTCCTCCGCCCCACTCACCCCCCCACGACCCCCTTGCTTGTAACTTGATACTCCTCTCCTCCGTCCACTGTCCCCAAAAAGCTAGAATGCAGCACTTTTGCAATCCTGCCCCCGCTACCCCCCCAAGCTCTCCTCAAAAAGACCCTTGTATCCACACAATTGCTCCACGCCGCCCCCAGCGCCGGCACGGTCCTATTCAACGTGCCATCTGCCGCAAGGCCCTGGCTCACCTGATTTGCGCACACGCAAACGCCACCGACATGCGCCGCCGCGCGCTTGAGCGCGGCGGCGAGCGCGACCAAATGCTCGGCCCGCGACAACGCGTCGTCGAACTCCGGGCGGTACACGGCGGCGACAGAATCGACGACGACTACGGTGGCTCCCGTCTGGCGGAACAGATACGGCAGGCGGTGTTGTGCCCAATTCAGCAGCTGATCTACGGAGCGGACTTGCTCGACCACGACTTTTCTCAGTAGTGTGCCCGCGGGTAGGCCGCGGGCGTCGCAAAGGTGAGCCTCGATCTGGTGCATGCGGGCGATGGGGGGCGCCCCTTCCGTGAAGGCAACGATGGCGCCGGTGGCAGCGCCGCCGTGCTCGACCGGGGCGCCGGCCATGAGCGAGAGCTGAAGGAGAATCTGGGTTTTGCCCGCGCCGGCGACGCCGCTGAGCTCGACGATGGAGGCGGTGCCGAGCGGGATTCCGCCCCTGAGAAGGCGGTCCAGGGAGACGCAGGAAGTGGAGAAGGTGGTGGGGGATTGGAGAAAAGAGTGGAAGGGGCGGAAGACGGGGGCAGACAGGCCCTGAGCTTCCAGGGCCGCGGTGGAGAGGTAGGGGAGCAGGGCGGGCGGGAAGGAGCCGATGACGGGGCGGGAGAGCTCTTCTAGGATGGAGGCGGCGCCGCGCGCGGCTAGGATTGTTTGGGCTTTGGAGATTAGGACGGCTTCATCGTCGGAATGCGACGGAGCGGTTGGAGTTTGAGTGTTTGTTGTTGTCATGGTTTGACGGAGCGGTCGAAGGTTGATGCTCCAGATGGAGACGAGGTAAGGTTCATGTTTCGGTTTCACGGGCCGCAAGGAACGTGACCTGGGCTCCTTCGTGAGGAGACGAAACGAAACAATGGAAAAGGAGGATGAGCACGAATTGATCCGCTGGCAATCCCGGGGATCCCTGGCTCTGTACTGTACGTTGCAGACTTATCCACCAACAACGGTCATTCACTGTAATCTCACCCTTACAGCATGAAGCGACACGAGATATCAGAGATACTCCCTGGCATCAGCGGTTCGTCCACTTGGTCATACAGAAGAGGCTTGCCTGCGAAGAGGCACCCGCCAAGGTCATCGCTGCGGTCACCGTATCTCCCCGCTCTCACCTATCTTTTTCCGCCAGATGACCATCACGCCGTTACCCTCGGGAGCCCATCGCCATCACTTTCCAGCCACTCTTACGCTGCGGCACACTTCTCCCTTTCTCCAAGACCGCCTTCCCTTGTTCCCCCCGCCCTCCCCCTTCCTGACAACAACTATGTCAACACCAGGCTTTGTATCGGCCAGCGCTGCGGCCCGCTTCACCCATAGACCGCATCCAACAACCGCATCTTCAAAATGCTCGCACTTCGCTGGCCGCGCCCTCATCTCACTAACCTCGCTCCCCGCCCGCGCCCGCCCGACCTACACCCCAATCCAGATGAAGAAAGGCCGCTCCCGCCAGCCGCTGCAACCGCGCCGCGCGCAAGACCAGATGTCACTTCCCGAGGACGGCACCCCTGTCTTCGCTATCTTTGTCCGTACCCCGCGCACGAAGCTCTGGTATCCAATGGGCGCCGTCCAAGGCGATGATCGCTCCAAAAATCTCGTCAATGCACTCAAGGGTGGCTTCGCAAAGGCCATGTATGCCAACGCATTGGACAAGGGCATTGCACAGACGGTGTACGGTAAGGGCGGGGACAAGTTTGTTCAAAGTGCCGTTCGCATGTACCCGCAGCTGAAAAAATACACAAAGCAGCTCGAGTTTGGGTACAGGGTCACGGCTATCGGCCTCGATGAGCAGCCGACGAAGCTGGTCACGAAGGAGATGGCACTACCTTTTGTGGAGTGGGCGAAGAAGCAGCTAGATAATGTCTTCAAGAAGAAAAAGTAGCCTTTGCCAAAACGGCACCTGCTTGTCCTTACACACGAAGGCTGCTATCGTTCGAAGCCGGAGGCTCTCGTTCTTGTAAATGAAGCACATGGACGGAATCCCGTAACCGAAACTGTTGGCCGTTTCTCCATCTTTAGCCAAAGCGCGAAGGCACTAACAGCTACCTACTAGACCAATCTAGTCCTCCAAAATCAGTCTTTGGAAGAACTTTGCAACTGCCGTATCCGCGCCATACGTTCCCGCAACGTCGATGCCTTGTCCCTTGTGTCTTCCGCAGACAGTACTCTCTCCACAGTTCCGTTTTCCTTTTCCGTTCCTGCAACACCATCCATCTGAGTACGATCTCCTGTTTGCAGACCGTAACGTAACTGTATTTCCTGGAGCCGTTTAAGATATACCTGCCCAGCGCTATGCCCTGAAATGTCACCAGCGGACGGCATTTCCATGTCTTCCATCGCCCCCGGAATGGAGCGACGAATTGGAACCGAAGCATCCCTGTAGCCGTTGCCAAAGGCTTGTTGCGATGTTCCTCCGTCGGGTCTACTTACAATGTCCCTTTGAGACTCCTCGCGACTCAATCTATCCAATCCGTTCCTGACAAAGACCTGCATGTCTTGATCGTACTGTGCCAAGTGCGCATCCAACGCAATAACACCGCTTCCTTCAAGCTCATTTTGTAATTGCCGTAGAACTGAATCTGACCTCATACCCTTGTCGATGTTCGAAAGACACCATGTGATCACAGCTCCGCTGTCCTTTCGATCACCCAGCGACCCAAGTTGCTGTGCAGCTTCACTGCTTTCTAAAGATTCATCCCGGCCACCTAGAGTCATATCAATGTAGTGAACCAACTGTGAACCTTCCGCATGGGGAATTAAACTGAGATGGGAACGAATATCCTTTCCCATTTCGTCAATTATCGCATTCACAACCGTCTTCAACAACCGCATCGCAAAGGTTTGGTCTTCCGCGGATGGTTTTCCATCTCGGCGCACAGGATTTGCAACTAAAAATAGATGAATATCTCTGAGTAGCGCGTCCATCCTACAATCTGCGAACCCCCGCTTCGATACTTTCGCGATCGACTTGATACATATGGACGACTTTGCCAATGAAGGTGACATCCGTGCAGACCCCGAGTGCTGCTGCATTTCCTTGATGTTCTCGAGTAGAAGGTTAATCATGGCAGTGTATAGCAAATTCTGATTACATGACTCCAGCACTTTGACAATCATTAAATTAACCCCTCGCCTCACTTGATCCCAGTCTTCTACGCCGACAACAGCTTGTGGAAGCATAGCATTGAGTGCATCAGCAAGCAAGCTCTCCACGGAAGACTGGTCGAGTTTGCGGAGAAGTTCAGGCTCTCGCGCGAACCTGATGACACCCTTCAAAAACGACTTCAGAACAGCCGGGTCGTCTTCCTCGGCTGCACCATTTTCGAGTCGACCCAGAGTCTCTGTGAAACACTTGACCAACTGAAGGAGCAAGGCCGAGCTACCTGTGTACGTTAATAAATTTCCTTCGCGCCTCAGGTCATCAAAAATTGATGCCAGACCAGATAGCTGCAAGTCGCGATCATGACTTTGCAAACGAGCGAGGATGTCAGCCACTAGATTCTCTTTCTCAGAGTCTTGCACAATACGACGTTGCTTCATAGGAAGCCCTGGAGTTGCTGGCACCGAATCCGCGCTTTGATTACACGTCTTCCTTGGTGTGGCTGTGTTAAGTGAGTCGCTAATAGAGGTTATTACACTATTCGGAGGCGCAGGGGCAACTGACAGTCTGAAGTCTTCACTACGAATGTCGCTTGGAACAATCGACATGGGTCGCTGCACCACATTCTTCTGGGCGTGAGATACGCCATCCGTAGGTTCATCTGCAACTCTAGATATTTCACCTGCTTTCGGAGCCTGCACTTCTTCTTTCGAGCCGCCTGGAACAGCTTTCAGCCTCCCCTCCAGCAGCCCGGCTTCAGTTTCTGTCAGCCCTCCGACTAGTTCCCAAAGGTCGTCTCCGAAAAATTCATGTGCACGATCCAAGCAGACAGCCGCTGCCCTTCCTGCCCCCTCGTCTTCGCTCCCGGCAACCTTTCCGATAGTAGGAAGTACTCCCGCTGGCATACCAGCACCTGAGGTGCATCGTTTTTCTATTAGTCGGCAAATCTCATTTCCAACTGCATTATGTGCTCTGGGACTAACTGGGTAGCGTAAGCAGGATGTTAGAAGGACAAGAAATACTTCATCACTAACCACATCGCCGATGGACAACAGACAACTCCTCATAGCTACGCGAATTGATTCTCGATTGCTTCCGCACTTGTCGACAATTGGTGGAAGTATAGCGCAGGCCTCGTATTCCCCGATAGTCGTTCCAGAAGACATTAGGACCTCACAGATGTTTGAGACAAAGACAGCCAGTTTGACAAGAACGGTTGGAGGTGTACGGGAATCTTCTATCCTGCATGCAGACCATCGCAAAAGAACATCGGCAGCATACAACAACGATTCTGGATGAACGTCAAGATAAGAAGACACGACCTCGATCGCTTCGACATGCATCCGGAACCGATTTGATGGAGCAGTGAGTTTGGTGCACAAATACGGAGAACAGCACTCGGTGAGGTCTTCCATTAAGTCCTCGACATCTTCACTTATGAGAGGTTGTATGTCACCCGATGGATCAGCTTCGTTTAGTTCCTGAATAAAACGACGTCTCTTCTTGAGAAAACGTTGAGCTCGAACGTCTCGCCCATCGTTTTGAACAATAACTGGAGTCTCGTCCCTTTCTTGTTGTTCCAACTCTCTGAATGGGGGTACTACCGGGGAAGCACGTGCACTAGCAGGTCGTTTTCGCCTTGAAGGAGTCCCTGCTGGAGTTGAGAAATCTGCAGCAAATGGCCCTCCCCTTCTGCTTGCTGGGGTGCGAGGTAAGGCCATGGAACGAGGTCGTTCGCGAGCAGATCTCGGCGTAACGGGAATCCCTGATCGCTCCGGAGGAGGTGCTGACGTTCCCGCTGCTTTCGGAGCTGAAGCTCGATACTTCTCTAGGACAGGATCAATTTGATTTCGTGCCGCTTTTGTCATGGATAGCAACTTCATGTCAATTGCTCCGATCCCAACACTCCTTACAACTTGCTCCAACATGAGGTCCGCCAAATGCCGCACTTCAGTAGTACGGTCTCGCAGACATGCGAAGCATGAGTCAATGAGTGGAGATAAATCCTCCCTGCCGGCATCGAATGATCCTATTTCTCCTTGCAGACAAGGTATGAGCCATTCCAGAAATTCCTTGCGGAACGCGGAGTTCAGGGAAGCCAAGGGTAAATGACAATAGGGTACCAGTGCCTCAAGGCCGAACAATTCAAACCAATTCCGCACAACTTTCGTGGCGGCGTCACGAATACCTCTCTTAATGTCAACGCATCCTTGGCTCAGAACCGTTGGGGCAAAAACTTTGAAGTGCACAACACCGGGGGTTCCCATTGCCAAAACCAAGCGGCCCAGTACATTGTATGCAGCAACAGCTAGGTTCCTATTGCTGTCGCTTAGGCGCGCCCGTAAAGCGTTGATTATCTCCATCCCTATGTCTGGCTTGATAAAATCATTTCCGGAGTTAATGATCCTATCAACTGCAGCTAACGCATCCTGCCGCTTCTTCCAATTGGAGTTCTTCAAGTCTAGGAAAAGACGCGATCCTGGAGCAAACTCTTCAGAGAGAGAAACCCGCTCCTGTGGGGGGGCTGGTTCAGGAGTGGGTACCGCCGCGGCCGACGATTCGAGGGTTCTCGCAGCTTCCTCTGGTAAAACGTCTCCCTTCGTCCGCGGAGGGCTAGTGGCAATTACTTCCAAATCTCCACTGCTTTTGCTTTGTACATCGTTGTTTCCGAACTTCTTCTTTCGGGTGGGGGGATCTGGCTCTTGGCCGTACTTTTGCAGCTCTACGTCAAACAATTCAAGACACTCCTCGGTTGTGTCGTGATCCAACAACTTCTTTCGGAACGCTTCTGGTTTCATCCGTATTGACGTCCTACAAGCAAGGGTCAGAGCAGCGTTGCGTGCGGCTGGCGCGGCATTACCTAGAGTTGCCGCAGTGACAGTTGCCACTGTCTGTTCTGGTACCACTGGAATGCCAAAGTCTTCCACCAAACGACCCAAAAACTTTAAAATCGCAATCACAGCCCTGTTGTTCTTAGTTTCCGTGACAGTTTGTGCAAGAATCTCGCACAAATAACGCGGGCTCGTCACCTCCGCGTAGGACATCATTATCTCGCCAACCACCTTTGACGATTTAATATCGCCAAATTTCTCGGCTGTTTGCAATAATAGAGGTCTCAAGGTCTTCCGCGGAAGTGGTATTGGGCATCTAGTTGCGACCATCCCGAATAGCTCCAGTTTGGGCTTCAGTGCCATAAAATTAGTATCCCCAAGGCCAGGAGCGCAGGACAGAAGCCCTAATGCGAAAAAAACATCTTCTTCCGTGAAAGAGTCCTTCCCAAAGAGACTGCCATTCACCATTGCCATGCATGCTACTCTTGCTTTGAAGCTCTTACTACTCCAATTCGCCTTTTCAAACTCTTCGAACCTTTCGACAGCCAAGTCAAGAGCGCTTTCTGGGCTCTGCAATATCTCTCCCTCATCATCGCTCTCGTATGGTGTAGGCTCTGGTTGCTTGGGCGGCACGGCTCCTCTTGAGGGGGATGGCCTTTTCTTTGGAGATGTGGCTGATGTGCTCGACGCAATGTGCTTTTGCTTCACAGCTCTCGTTGCTGGTAGCACCTGCGATACTGAGGCCGAGGTGCTCCCTTTCGCTCTCGCTTGTTTCTTTGGTTCACTCGACACGACCTTTCTCACGTCCGGTAGCTCGGTAGCGATTGCTGCAACTTTGTCTTTGCGCTTCTTGTCCAGTTTTTCTAGGTAAACGGCCATATTTTTCTCCCCGACAAGTTTCTGGAGTGATGCGAGCCCTCCAAGTGCTGCATCTCTAACTTCCGGTGACGAGTCTTCTGTCCCTTTCACGAAAAGGCCTCCAAAAGACTTGAGGGGTGCCCCTTTGAGATCTGCGCCAGCTGTCCCTTGCCGAAGACTGCGCCCCAACCACAGAAGTGCCTCACACCGAGCCTTCGGGGTTTTGTGTGAGGCCACGGCGGCTATTTCCTCTTGCAGTTCCACTATTCGAATACATTTTTTCAAATGCAGCGCATCAAGAGCTTTAGTAACAGAATCGACCATAATACGATTCTTTTCCTTGAGGCGCCCAAACAAGTCTACAGTAAGAGCCTTCGCCGCGCCCGCCGGAAAGTTTTTCCGTAGCCCGTTGCACATTGCTTGCAACAAATTCGCAGCTGAGGCCACAACGTTGACGTTCGTATCCTTTGCGATAATCTTCCGCAACCGCGTTAAAACATCCTGGTGGTTGACTGGGGTTAGCTTAGCCTGCCCTACAATTTCGACAGCCTCATCCATCGCAGTCTTGCGAGCTTTCCACTTCTTCGAATCTACAGCAGTATACCAGTCCTTTGTGACCCCTTCTTCAATCAAAACCTTGACTTTGGCGAGCTTTTCGATGAGATTAATTTCAAGTTCGGCTTCTGGCTCTTCACTCTCCGGCTCGCCAAGTCCAAAACCGTCGTCTTCGTCACCGTCGTCAACATCGCCATCGCCCTCTCTGACTCGTTTCCGCATTGATCGAGTAAGACGAGTGGGTTCAGGCTTGCCTTGGCCTGCGTGCTTAGCAAACGCGGCGTCAAGTTCCTTCAATGTGACTTCCTTTGCGCCTTTAGTCACCACCTTTGCATCATCACCTACCCATCGATGCATTTCAATTGCGAGGCCTTTCGCAGCATTTCGCACGATTTCTTGCGAGTGTCCAAAAAGGGGAGGTAGCTTCTCCGCAACAACTTTAAGAGGTACATACCTCTTTCCAAACGCATTGAGAGCTTTAGAGACTGCGTCGATAGCCGCGGCAACCACCTTTGGCGTGCGATGCGAAAAGCCAGCAGTCGCCATTGCTGCTACTGCAACATCACCAGCATCAGCTCCAACAAAGGTTAAAAAAGTTTCGACAGCATTCATTTTGTTTTGTAATCTGCCAGCCAAACCCTTCTCCGCAATGCCCTTAACGACATCGCCCGCCGCCTTTCTGACAAGATTTGGTGGTGCGGTATCAGCGAATTTCGAAAGCGCATCAAAGCCAACAAGTTGAGCTGGCGCATTGGAGTCGCGCACGATCTTTCCCAGGGCGGGAAAGAAGTCAGCATATATCTTAGCGTCTTCGCTCGCAGCAGAGAACTTATCGGTGAGTTCGCGACAGGCAGCCTCTCGGACCTTCCAGTGTTTGTGTAAAACGCGCTCTGCCAAGGGGAGTTTCTTGAACTTCTGGACGGGGTCCTCACCAGGCGAGGACGACGCAGTGGCGTCCATCTCTTACGCCAAGAGGGGTGTGGTGCGGCTCGTCTTCAATGGATGAATCTTAATACCGATGCCAACTTCGGTGCAAGGTTTCCGATGGGAAAACGAATTGAGAGATGGGGGTTGCTATGAGTTAGGAGAAGGAAAAAAAAAAGCTGCTCTGTGTACCAACGGACTGGAGAGTTTTACGTAGGCGTGATACAAAATGATGAAGTCAAAAGACAATGGCCCGCCCTTCCAAACCAAGCGCAATAAGCACACAAGATGAAGGGCGGACTTCGGTGGAACTGTGTTTGGGCTCCATACGATTTCGAAAAGCAGTTTGAAGATTCAAACAGGCCTATTGCATTTGGAACAGTTCTTACAGTGCTCCCCTTCCCTACTTCCACGTGTACACGTGTTCGGACGAAACAGTTCAAGAGGCAGGTTAGTGGCAAAAGGGACAAACACCAGGCCTTCCATCTTATTTCGATCCTTTTTTTTTGTTAAATTGCCATCGGCTATTGGTATTGACATCATTATCGTGGCAACATGTTGCTACATCGCTGTGCCCTCATCCAGAGGCGTCGTGGCGACCTATGAGGGAGCACAACTGGTCCACGGCAAAACCACATTGGAAGTCCAACCTTGGTGCTCTAAAGGAAATATTGTACATTACAGTAGATGCCAAGACGTACAGTATTGCTTCGTCTTCACTGGGTGCATCCACGAGATAAAATTCCGCCGAGTATTCCGCCGAGTATATTAACAAAAGCCTGAAAGGCTTCAATCATGGTGTGAAAGGATCGCATGTACTGTACATGTCCCCTGTCCCATACAGGGACAGGCGGGACAGTGCATACCCCGCCCAGTCCCTCTCTTGCAACGCAGTTGAATCAGGAGAGCTGGGTTCACTTCACTCGCAGATATTCAGGCTCGGTCCGCTCATAATGCTTGTACTTTTCAATTGGCGTAAAGTCTACATGTAGACATGACAAAGCGGCAGCGAATCTTCGAACGATATACTGTAGTACATAACATAAAAAGATCAGAAGTCACACAGCACACACCTGACTCTAACTGCCGTTTACAGTAAAACGGCTGCAGAATGAAATATTGTTTCCGCAAGAACCAAATGAACTCGTTCTCAACGTGCATTGGGCCATTTCTTGAAACACATTTATGCATTCCAACTTAGACGATTGTGCGACATAGCGCATGTTGTTTAGACGAGCCTCAAGATGGTTGTGGTCTCTTTTGTTCATCAGTATGAATGAGCAAGTGCGGATTTTCTCTGGTGCCATCTGACAGGGCACCGGTGACGCGCGAGCTTCCAAAGTGTGGAGCACAAATTTTTTGTTCCTTCTCTCGTCCACTGCTGGAAGACACATTGTAGAAAGAGGCCACCGCTTACTGCTATGAACATAAGGGAGTGAAGTTGCGACACACTCGCTAAACAAACAGAAGACTAAAAAAATTCATCTGTTTTTTCGTGGAATCTCTCATCCTCTACAAACACACGCAACCCACACACTTGTATTAGAACACAACGACAGCTGTGAAACTATGAATCCAGTACTAGTTTTGCGTTCAACAAGCGGCGAGACGTTCTTCGAATTTGTGAAGTAGGCTCCTAGACTGTGCCTATCCTGGCTGTTACTTATTGACTCGGGGCAGAAACTTTGACCTTTCCGCATCCTACGCTTGGGAAGATCCATTTTCTCAAAGGCACAACATCAGCAGTAGCTGTGGTAGTTTTACAACGGAACAACTTTTCTATGGTTAATTAACTGTTATTGGACAGTTTGGCCCAGACCTTCAACTGTGAAGCGGCCATGGACCTTAATCGTCAAGAGATTTTCAGTTCCAATCCCGATAGAAGAATATTCATTGCACCCGTGATTCCAAGAAATACCTAGTTATACAGTATTTCGCTGTGCTGTTGAGGTTTCAATTTTATAATTTTTAGGAGCACCTTTTCCACTTGACTTTGCTTGCTTTCCACTCTTCATAGTTCTTGGTTGTACATTTCGTGCACAAATCTCTGTCTCCACCCTTGATACAAATAGAGAGGAGTACGGGTTCGCTGTATGTTTTCACGCAAAACTTCCGCATTGCAGCTCTTTCAATAATGACCAGCTCTCTGATTCGCCGTCCCACAGAGCGAAAAGGAGGCTTAGCTCACCCGCCGAGAAATGGCTGTGGTCATGAAATTGATTGTTAAAACTATCAGCTTGCAACACAGACCTGATTGTGCCGATAACTACCCTGTTCGGTTCTGGCCTGGTTAGCTAATACTGAGCGCTTATCAATGACATCACATTGACGTTTATACGTTGGTGTCTATGATTTTAAACGTACTGTGAGCGGTGAGGCTACCTAGACTTGTAAATATGACCTACGTGCTTTTCCACTTAAGTGCACGTTTCTTCACGAGTAGACCGATATGGCCTTGAGTTACGAAATCTTGCCACATGAATATCGGCTATCACTGTCAAGCGTTTGTGCAGGCACATTCTTCAAATGAGAGCAATTCTTCAAATGAGAGCACATCCTATGCAAGTTCAGGTCACTAAAGCATACAGATTAGGAAGTATGGTCTTCTGCGGAATCTTTCGAGCTCAGCAATTGAGCGCTACCAAGCAAACGCTCAAAATTGGATCTTCCAAGGGGCAATTGTGTTTGGAATGCCACATGGCGCTAGCAAGCAACAGTGCAGCGCATTTCCTGAGACGGACCGACAAAAGTCTTTAACCGAAAACGTCTGCCCATAAACGATATGACGCTTGGGACATGAGCTAGAAGGCTACCGGCTTCAGAGTCGGTTGCCCCCCGACTGTAACGGAAGGAGCACGTCATTAACTCATAGAGTTAGGTCTCGCGCGATGAATAGTTGGATCTTGCGATTGATTATAGCAATATTGCAAGAAATGCTCGGGACTCTGATTAGTGAGCTCTCAAAGTGCACAGGAAAAGGAATCTGATCTGCAGCGCCGCAATGCAAAGGGTGATTAAGCTCTATTCGTGAGCGAGTATTAAACCCTCCATAGGGTTATTTCTCATTCGCTACACCAAGCAATCGATAAATCATGTAGGCGATAGCACCCGTAACGACGTTGAATATCATGAAAATGAAAAACTGGTTTGGTTCATCGTGGTGATGGTGGTGATCATGATGATGATCATGGTCGTGGTCATGATGATCATGGTCGTGGTCGTGGTCGTGGTCGTGGTCACGGTCGTGGTCGTGGTCGTGGTCTTGGTCTCTGTGCAAGGAGGAGATGGAACGTTGGCGGATATGCGGAGAGGACTGGTGGAAACCTGTGTCTCCCGCATCTGCTTTGAGTCCGGGCATTGCTGCGGTGCTAAGCTTGCGCTGAGATCTGGCGGGAGAGGAAAGTAGAGGTGAGACCTGGCCAGGACGGAATGAAAAGCTAAATTGCTCGCGCCACCAACATGCACTCGAACAGAAAAGGGCTGCGGGCATGAGGTGCCAGTGCCAGCAATACATCGACTACAGGTACACGTGGCAGAAATCGGGGGACAAGAATGACTAAAAAGCGGAGGCTTACAGAAGTCGAGTGATGATCGACTTTGAGATTGATGAGATTTCTAGCAGCAGCTTTACAGCGGCACAAAGCAACTTTACGATGCGCTGTTTAACGCCTCCGTTTGGTATGATCTCCGTGGCGTGCTCCAGCTCCTTCTGTGGTCCCCGCAACTTCATTTCAAAGGTAGAGACACACCCCTCGGCCGGCACAATCAAGGCGCTTTCTGCCGCCATTCAATTGCTTGAGATCCTGGTTCGACTCGGCGCAAAGACTCTTGAGGTCACCCCATCTCACTTCCCCACTACCGTTTCCTTCTTTCCAGTTGAGATATGTGCAGCTACGTTGAAACTCACCACCCCCGCTTTCACAGTTCAGCTCAGCACAGCATTGCATTCGCCAGCAGATCAATGACGCATTTCACACCAGCGTTTGCCGCATCGGCCCCGCGTCTATCTTTGTTACGATCAATTTCGCTTTGCCGAGCACCACAAATTTGTCAGAGAGGTGAGTTTGTTAAGCGCGTACGCCATGCCACAATCTCTCACGCAACTGGCGATGCAGCGCGTGTTCCACGAGACGCCGCCGCAGCTGCACCGGGCAGACAATCAACTCGACAGGCACCGACAGCAAGCTTGCTCGCCTCCGTCACCCAGGTAGCGAGTACTGGTGCGGGTATATTCCTGTTGGGGTTTATCATTTTCGTGCATGAGAGTGGTCACTTTCTAGCCGCGCGTCTCCAAGGCATACGAGTGAAAAACTTCTCCATCGGTTTCGGGCCACAAATTTTCAACTTCTCTCCTGCCAAATCGGAAACAGAATTTACAGTTCGTCTACTCCCGTTGGGAGGCTATGTCGCCTTCCCTGAGCATGCGACCATCGACGAGGAAACAGGAGAAACAGTAGTCAGCGATGACCCCGACCTGCTTCAAAACCGACCGCTTTTCGATCGCGCTCTAGTTATATCCGCCGGTGTGATTGCAAACGTTATTCTGGCCTGGGGCTGTATTTTCGCTTCGGTTTCTACCGTCGGCCTTCCTACTTACAATTTCAGTCCAGGTGTCAATATTGCTAACATCGTCGATACACAAGGGACTGGAGCAAAGGCGGGAGTGAAAGCAGGAGACGTAATTTTGCGTGTCGATGGGAACGAGGTTCCAAAATCGCTCGATAGTGCCCGTGTGGTAGCGGAAAAGATCAGAACGTCTGGCGGTCGAGAGATGGATTTCCGTATTCTTAGGGGTGGGAAGGAGTTTGACATGCAAATCAGAGCCAAGTGCTGCACACCTGAAGGAAATGCTGCCATGGGCGTACAATTGATTCCGAATGCGGATGTCACTCGTGTTCGCCCGCCGACCGTACTGAAATCGGTAGAAACAACAAACAAAGAATTCTCTCGTTTGTCTAGACAAACGTGGAACGGGCTGACATCAATAGTTTCCAACTTCCAGAAATCTTCACAGAACCTGTCGGGGCCCATTGGGGTCGTCTCTATGGGTGCGGATTTGGCGCGCAACGACACAGCGGCTCTACTGACATTTTGCGCCGTTATTAGCATCAACTTGGCATTGATCAACTCACTGCCCCTACCGGCTTTGGATGGTGGGCAGATGACGTTTCTGTTAATTGAAGCTCTCAGGGGAGCGCCAGTCTCTTTAAGGGTTCAAGATGCCATTAATCGAACTGCGTTGTTGCTGTTTTTGGCATTTTCCGGAGTCCTTGTCTTTGGAGACCTTGAGAAACTTAACATTTTGAGCGCTATTCAGAAGCTTTTCGGCTAAGCCAATTGGTTTGATAGCGTTTTCGTTACAAGCCAACCCTGTATTTGTAATGATGTGACTCAAAATTCTTCTCGCCCCATTCGCATATCACGCGAAGGATAATGCGGAAATAGGAAACGCTTGATACTGTACTGTAGAAAGGAAGGTAGCCTGCAATGTGATCGTAAGGGGTAGCAGAGTCGTAGGCACGGTGTATGGCGAGAACAACATAAATTTACATTTCTAGGATGGCCCCCTCGATAATGCAGCACTAACTTGATGCCTAATGCGAGCACTGCTGCATATTCTCTAGTGCATTTGGCTCATCTGGAACCCCGGTTTGTGGTCCAAAAAAAAGTGACGCTTTAACGTGCCCTGCATGGTTTGTTTGTCCATTGCTTGGCCACAGGAGCGATAGTTAGGCCACTGGCGAATTTGTGTGCAGTTGGACAAGTCCACAGTGTGTATAGAAGAGCAAGTTGCTAATGATCTAGCTCTCGAGATCTTGGACGAAAGGCCTTCTAAGAAATGAGAAGATAGTATCGGGCGGTGACGGTGGTGTGAGTACAAACCTGAGGGTCAACGATAAGGCAGGGGGGCTTGCATAGACGCACGACCCTTAGATTATTTTCTATTGAATCGCCTTGTATTCAGGACGCACGCGTTTTCTCGTGTTCCGTGTGACACGAACGAGAGTTGTGCCACACAAGGTCATGTGGTCATATTCCACGGGCGCACACTGAGAATGAGGAAATACTGCGATTCGGTGGGTTTGGGAAGCGAAGGGAAGAGAGAAGCATGTGACTTTCTTCCTGCTTCGCCAAGCCTGCCTATAAGACGTGATTGTGAACAGTCACGTTGTCCCTCAGGAAACATGTGTACAACATACACGGAAGTTGGTATCGCTCATGGTAGACCATCTCAATCCTGGTGATTCGTGGATATCCGACAACTCAATTGAAGAGAATGTGATACCGCACATCTTTATTAAGTGGGTTGCGTTGATGAATATCATTCTACACTACGGTGGAGTTCTGCAGAGAGCAATTTCTCTCTGTGCTGTACTGAGAAGTTCTGCAATCGCTCTCTCGTGTCTAGATGAAGAACGGCCCCAGATCGCCTCCTGATTCTGGACTTACTGTGCCTTTGATCGATACGATTGAAAAAGGTGTTCCCAGTGTCGGAACTGGGTTGACGGGCAGCTATCAGTGCAATGTATGGCACACATTCTACTGATACCTGTCCATCCTTCTGAGGCATTTTAGAAAAGTTTGACGAACAAGCCCTTGTGAGCATGCTTGAAACCTTCTTTTATACCTTGAAACCAAATACACAGTTCAAAAACCAAAATCATAGTTTAAACTTGATTTAACTCTCCGTCTGTCGTGTATTGCATAATGGTAATGCGGTAACATACTGTACTTGTCGGGAGCAAATGCGTTTCAGAAACAGTGCCCAGATTGAGGTTCTAAAGTAGCAAATTATGTAGTCAAGTTTTGTCGCAAAGAAGGTTGACCTCACTTGCATGAGGCAGAGTATGATCTCGAGTAGGCAACCTGCTGTATTACAGTACAGGTCCTACAGTAGCCAGCGAGTGTTTACAGTGGACTCCGTAAAGACAGGTGTTGTAGTATTGCTACAAAATTACACATATTTTACGTTTTTGGACTCCTTTTCAGTTGTGCAACAGCAGCAGATTCGGCTCTACCGCAGCAGCACTTGTGATTGGGCAGAATGACAGCAATCTATCCAGCTACAGTTGAAAGCTCGATTCCTGCCGCGATGCATTTGAGAATTCAGGTTGGTGTTGAAGGGGGTTAGGGGGATTAGGGTACTAAATAAGGGTACAGTACGAAGGTACCTTCAAGGTACAGTACCAAGGGTACAGCATATGGCGGGTATTGGCACACCCTCAAAAACCAGCCTGTTAAGACACACCCTCTCAGGGTGTGTCTTAACATGCCCCGTTTTAGAGGCGGCAGTTTTTTTGAAGGTTGGAAGATCTACAGGAAGTGGCATGTTGAAGGAGACACACACTGAGTGGCGAAAGGTGCAGAAGCGATGTTGATGGTTGGATGACGGAAGGTGGGTGAGTGACGAGCAAGTGCACTGTGGCGGGCGACTGCGCGACAGCGGGGAAATGTTACTTTGAGGATGGTTGGCGACCACTTGTGTTTGGCCGCACGAGGGATTGGTCGACATTGGCAAGGGAAGGAGACTGTTCGGCAGCCGAGATGGGTAGATTGTCCGAATTGGAGGGGGGTGGAATGCTGTTGATTTTGTAGCGCCGCGGTGCGGGGTATATACTCTACTGGTACAGTACATATATGGTCTATAAATATAATGTACAGCACAGGATACTGCGTGTACAGTTCTAAAATCGTTGCTTGTCATACCAACAGAGAGCGTACAGTATTTTGGTATGGCTGACTCCCTTCTGTCTACAGTAAGGCTGGTCGTGTCTGTGGTCGTTGCGATGTATTCAGCACTTGGCTGGCGTGTTTCGGTCTGCTCTACCCACTGCCCGGACCCCTTTTTCTTAGACTATCGTACTCCAGCTTCCCTATTAAGTACCTATCATTCTTCCCTCCTCTCGTCCTGCGATTCCCGTTCCTCTGCGCTCTTTCTTTTTGCGTTCGCTGCCTTTTGCACTCTCTTAGAGTGCCTCCATTCCCTGAGTTTCTGCCTATGCGACCCCTCACTGAACGGCCACGGCGCATTGCGGCGTGCGTCAATTGTGACACGTGCCCTTCCAGTATGACCCCGTTTCATATTCGTAATGTGTAAAACGTGTTCAACCTGTATCTACCAGTTCACAAATACTACAGTATGCGCTAACACGTAGGCTGGTTCACAAAAGTACAGGACGGCAGTGCATGGGGATGCTTCGCAGTTGCTTCGAAGTTGGACGTTTGAACGATGATTAAGAAGACTGGTG